CCGCTTTGACCTCCCAAAGTGCTGGGATTACAGTAGTGAGCCACTGCGCCAGCTGGGTTTTTATGAATTATTGTTAAGACAGGGTCTTTCTCTGTCACCCAGACTGGAATGCAGTGGGGGCGATATCAGCTCACTGCAACCTCCGCCTACCTAGTTCAAGCGATTCTCCTGCCTCAGCCTCCCGATAGCTGGATTACAGGCCCCCGCCACCATACCTGACTAATTTTTTTTTTTCTTTTGTATTTTTAGTAGAGATGAGGTTTCACCATGTTGGCCAGGATGGTCTCTAACTCCTGACCTCAGGTGATCCGCCCACCTCGGCCTCCCAAAATGCTGAGATGACAGGCATGAGCCACAGTGCCTGGCCTCTTCTGAATTATTTTTCGTAGTCTGTTTCATGGCCTGCTGACATCAGAATGACTTGCGGGGAGGTGAGGGAGGGAGGGAGGGAGGGAGTGCTAGTTTGAAATCTAGATTCTCAGGCCAGGTTGCAGACCCACCAATTTGGACTGTCAGGGAATAGGACCTGAAAATCCACATCATTAAGTCTCCTGAGAGATTTTTATGAACACTAGCATTTGAGGCTAGACTCAAAAGATAAACTTCTTACAGTAGGCCGCTGTGGGTTCATTTTGGTAACAGCCACCCACTAGGTTCTCACAGGCGCTGGACCCAGCATTTCATCCTCTAACAATACTATTTCTTTCCCCTTTTAACATGGAAGGAAACTGGGACTCAGGTCAAGTAACTTTTTCAAGTTTACCTGCTAAGATATTGCAGAACTAATATTGGAGCCCCTCCACCTCTGGAACTCATCTTCTTAATTACTTGTCTGCACTGATAGCAAAATGTTTTGATACTAGCCCTCCCACTGCCCCTCTCCAAAAGTTCATGCATGGCAGTCATAACCCCCAAGATAGTAGCTGATCTGTGAACTTTCATCTTGTAACCTAGTTTAGTCCAATTTGAGAGAAATTAGAAAAACCCTGGTGAGACTCTGGCCTCAGAGCCCCCCTGTCTGGGTTCAAGTCCTGCCTTCACCACTCAGGAGCGGCATAACCTTAGTTTACACCCTTCTCTGGACTCTCCTATTCCAGAGAGCTGTGGTGAGAATTATATGAGAATATGCTAAGCGTTTGTAGATAAACATAGGTTGAGCACAGCATCTGGCACATGCTAAGTGGCCAGGAAATATTAGCAGTTACTACCACTATTCTCTGAATGGGGTTTCCTCGTTGGTTAAATGTGGAAGTAGACGCTGAGCTCAGAACAGACTCTCAGGCAGAAATGCTCCCTGGAGTAAGCGGAGAGATTTCTTCTCACGTCTCAGAGGTCCAGCCATGAGGAATCTCACCTTACCTTGGTCACAAGCCAGCAGACAGGGTTCTTGTGGGAAAGCCTTCACAGGGTGCTGAGGTAGAGAGGGTGACAGCATCGGTATCACTGCTGAGCAATGTGAAGGCCTGTGTGGTGGGCAGCCTGGGCTCTCATGTCCCTGAAATTTAATATCTCTGTAACCACAGTCTGATAGTTGTGAAGAGGTAGGCCCAGACCCACTAGAAAATCTGAATGGGCCAGATGTGGTGGTTCACACCTGTAATCCCAGCACTCTGGGAGGCCAGGGCAGGTGGATCACCTGAGGTCAGGAGTTCGAGACCAGCCTGGCCAACACAGTGAAACCCTGTCTCTACTAAAAATACAAACATTAGCAGGGCATGGTGGTGAGTGCCTGTAGTCCCAGCTACTCGGGAGGCTGAGGCAGGAGAATCGCTTAAACCCGGGAGGTGGAGGTTGCAGTGAGCTGAGAGTACGCCACGGCACTCCAGCCTGGGTGACAGAGTGAGACTCTGTCTCAAAAAACAAGAAAAAATCTGAATGGAACCCAAGCCTTCCCCTGAAGGTGGTAGATGGAAAGGAAAACCAGTTTAACTCTGAAGGGGCCCAAGGGCAGACCCCTGTGAGAAACAGAACACAGTGTGGGGAACAAGTCCTTTTTCTTTTCATTCCTAAAGCTGTGAGCCTGTAGGAGTGGTAACGATCAGATAGCCCACAAGGGAGGGGAGGCTTTGGGGAGAGAAGGCAAGGACTAGTTGAGAACCTCAGAATCCAAGAACATAGCCAGGAGGCCATAGGGCTCACTGGCCAGTGGCTAGAGGCGCAGGTTGCTTCAAAGCAGCTTGGCTTTGGATGAGAAGAAAGTTTTATGAGCATTTAGGCAGGACAGTTTAGAACAGGGGATGGCAAACTTTTTCAGTAAAAGCTTGTATAGTAAATAATTGTAAGTATTTTCAGGCCAATGGTCTCTGTGTAGACAGTACATAAATCAGTGGGTATGGCTGTTTTCCAATAAAACTTTATAAAAATGGACAGCAGGCCAGATTGAGCTGACTCCTGGAGAGGAAAGAGCATCGACTTCAAAATCAACCAGACTGGGCTTAAACTCCAGTTCCGACCTCCACTAGCCAGATGAGAGTCACGTGCCTTCACGAGTATGTAACTATCTGTTTAAGAACTTGGGATTTGGAAGTGGAGGGCCTTGGGTTCAAGTCCTGCCTTCACCACTCATGAGTGGCATAACCTTAGTTTAGACCCTTCTCTGGACTCTCTTATTCTAGAGAGCTGTGGTGAGAATTATAATATGCTAAGCATATATAGATAACCATGGGTTGAGCACAGTGTCTGGCACATGCTAAATGCCCGGGAAATATTAGCAGTTATCACTGTTCTCTGAATGGAGTTTCCTTGTTTGTTAAGTGTTAAGATGAGTACTTTTTACCATGGATGTAAGGATTACATTCAGTAACAGGTGTGTGTGTGAAGTGTCTGGCATAAAGTAAAATGTCAGCACTAATATTATCCTTTAGAAATGGAAGCCATTCTGCTCTCCCAGGAGCCCTGGAAGAACACTCTTTTTAAATATAAGAGCTCTTTTGTGAAGGAAACTATTAGTAGGAATCAGAATTGGGTTGGTGGTCTTCGGTATCTAATGTGTGATCCAGCAGGGTGTGAGAGGAGTTAGGGGCGCTTGGGAGTCAGTGGTGTGGGTGTAGTCTTCCTCTTCGAAGATTCATCCGTGTTGGTATGCTCTGTTTTTCTTTGATAAACCCATTGCCCAAGCCAAGCTCTGCTCACTAGCTCCAGAACACAGGTTGCATTGCTCACCTGTGTCTTTGCTTTAACCCCTTCCTGTAATCAGGATGGCCTCTTCCTTTCCTCATCAGCAGATTCACCAAGACCCCATTTAAAAGCTCTTTCCCCTCTGAAGTCTGTTCCCTGACAGCTGCACCCCACAGTGAATCTGCTCCTCTGAATTCCTATTATTTGCATCCTTGCATTCCTGTTTACTTGCTGTCTTGTAGATCCCGTATCTTCAACTAGACCAGGAGTTCTTTAAGGGGCAGGATTGTGGTTATACTTCCTGGTCTCCATTTCACTATCTTCCCTCTAGTGGATCCACAGTAAATACTCATGGGTTGAAAACAACTAAGTGAATTTTTAACCAATGCAAATGTCTATATATATATATATATTGTAGGCAAGACTGTTAATTCTAGGAGTTGTCAACTCTTGTTGACATTTTTTAACTTTATGGAGCACCGCAAAGAAAACTGCTCTTTAAGAGCTTGCTTATGTTAGAAAGCAATAAAAGAATATTCTAGGCCTGGTCTATAAATCCTTCCCAAGCACAATTTTCACGTTCTTTACCTGTCTTCCTGCTGAATGGAGAGCATTTTGAGGACTGAGGGGAAGGTGGAACCACAACATGAAAGGAGCCTGGATTCCTGAGTAGCTGCTTGGAGGGGAGCCAACCAGGAGAGATGCCTGGGCAGGAGGACTCATGTCAGACTTGCATGAAAAATAAAACCACACACACATACACACACACACACAGCAGGCAATGCCCATGCCTCTTGTCAGTTGGATGTTTTCACATTAGAAGAATGACCATAGTTAGGGTTGAATTAAAGGTAGGCATTGCCTTAATTTATGGTTGGTACAATCTGAGTGTAAATGTGCCCCCCATCTAGAGTCTGTGGTTAGTCACTATTTCAGAATAATGCTCCCACAGGGTTTTCTCTGTGTGTACAGTTGATAACCACAGTAATTCCATCAGCCTCACATTGTTGATCATGTTTGGATGGGCTACAAACCACTGAATAGTTGGGCTGCAACAGGGACTGACTCACAATTCAGTAACCTAAAATCCATTGTAGTGAGTCATTATTTTCTGTCCAGCTGACACTCAAAGCTGGCAGTCCCCTCTCTGACAGGACACTTACGGAGTTTCCTAATTTGACATTTAGCAGAGGTACTGCTCTGGGATTCCAGGACTGGTCAACAGTTGCTATAACTGAGCTGTGAGGATGAGAGAGTCTCAAGCCATGGCAAATAGAGGACCACGGGCATCCCGATGAGATGGGACCCCTGTAACCTGCACTGATCTGGAGGTGGTCAGACAGCTCAGCCTTCCAGCTCCCAACCCTGAATTTGGATGTGGCCCACAAAGGCCTGGATCACAGAAAAGACTCTCATCACACCTTTGCCTTGAAGCCCTGTCCTTCACTCTTAAGGATCCTTCCTCACACAGTTTTCCTAAGCTCAGTTATCTGCTTTCCCAGCCCAAGATGTTGAGCCATAACAAGAAGGAGATGACGCAGGGATGAGGAGATGGGAGGCAGGTATCAGACAAATGACAAGAGCTGTCAGCCCAGAGTCATCACTCGGGGAGGAGAAAATAAACACACCCAACACACGAAGAATGACATTATTACAGAATACAACAGAGACTTGCAGGGTGAATCTCAAATGCATGGAAAAAGTAATTTCTGTTCATTGTTGTTGTGGTTTAGATGGTAGAACTATCCCTTTGAGCCTCTGCTAGGAGAAGGTGACCTTTTGCTAATAACGGAAGAGCCCATCGATTTCAGGCTGTCATCCCAACTTCATCTCCTCGCATCACTCACTTTGCTTCTTTCTTTTTTCCTTCTGGGTGTGCACAGAGGAGGGCACACGGATACAGGACTTGCTCTGAAATACCTTCTGAACAGAGGGTTTCCTGGAGGCAGAAATGCCTCTGTGCCCCAGATCCTTGTCATCGTCACTGATGGGAAGTCCCAGGGACATGTGGCACTGCCAGCCAAGCAGCTGAAGGAAAAGGGTGTCACTGTGTTTGCTGTGGGGGTCAGGTTTCCCAGGTAAGAGCCTCGGTCACCCTGGCACAAGCCCTCAGGTGGTCAGCCTGGGGATCGTGTCATGGCCATGGGAAGGGAGGGGACTGGAAGAGCTGTCCGGGTCCTTCCCTGGATCTGTCTTTTCGTCACTTTGCCATTTTGGCTCCAGTGCACAGGAAGCTTCGATCTTTGGGAGCCTAAGCATTTGCATTGACTTTGGTTTTGTTTGAACACTTGGTTGCAAGTACCAGAAACTCTGCTGAAATTTATTTGGGCAAAAATGGAAATTCATGGAGTCATCTCATTCACTGGGTGGGATGGGGGTCCCTCGGGGTGGGCAGGAGTCAGGGACTTCAGTGTGATCAAGATTCTTCCACACATCTCTGCTGTTCTCGGCCTGTTGCCTCCTCTCTTAACTGACTTTCTTAGGAAGCTGGAACTGGAGCTGCGGATGGTGCCCAGCTCACGTCTTCAGAGCTCCACCCTGGAGAGAAAAGACCCCTTTCCACAGTTTAACAATGCAAGAAAATCCTCTAATCAACCTGAGGCAGAGCCCATTCTTGGGGCCAGGGGAGGGGGAGTCTGGCTGGCCAGTCCCCTTTACCCCATTTGTCTAGCTGCTGGGCAAATAGGCTTTCCTAGAAGAGAGGAGGGTACAGATCCATTCTGTTACCAGCTATGCTTGCTTGTTCTTTACTTGCTGTCACCTAGAACCACTTTCTTTCATTTCCACTCTGGTTAACTGTTTTCCTCACCAGCTATGGGTCTGACAAAACCAGACACTAACTCTGTGCTGCCATCCACAAGGAACCCATGGCCTAGGAGATGAGTGGGCAGGGGAAGGGTGGGTACAGGCCCACAAGCTGTCACAACCCCTTGGCACAGGTGGGAGGAGCTGCATGCACTGGCCAGCGAGCCGAGAGAGCAGCATGTGCTGTTGGCTGAGCAGGTGGAGGACGCCACTAACGGCCTCTTCAGCACCCTCAGCAACTCTGCCATCTGTTCCAGCACCACGCCAGGTAAGACCTTCCAGCCTGGAGGGAGTGGAAGTGCCATGTGGGGTCGGGGAGGGCTCCCTGAGGCAAGAGGTCAGGACCCAGGAGCCTCCCAGCGAGGGAGGGCAGGCAAGAGAAAGAGAGACCGGCAGCCTCCACCCTGGGCACTCCGCTGTCTCCCTGTGCCCTGCCCTATGGGTTTCCCAGCTGGGAGCCCTGAGCTTGTCTTCATGGAGGTAGAGAGGCCCAGGGCTTGATACTCAGACGTAGTAGGTTCCCTGTCCCCTGCTCAAGAAAGAGCCAAGTCTCCTCCCCTGCCTTGGTCCACACAGAGGAGCACAAGGAGGCTTTCTGCTTGGTGCAAGATCCCTGCATTCTAGTTGTCCTTGTCAGGGTCCACCCAGGAGCCAGAGTGATGACATTATGTGGAGGGTACATGTGTGCACATTATGTAAAAGCTGTGTCGGGTGGGGCCCAGCAGAGGAGATGCTTAGAGACTGAACAGGCAGAGCAGGGCCGCTCACCTGGAGATGTGCCCTGACCTGAGAGAGCAGAAGGTGGCCAGCCTGGGGGTGTGGTGGAAACTCCCAGGAGCGGGAGCAGCCACTGGGGGAGCGTGTGTGGCGGGAGGAGGTGGAACCCTGTCTCCTCCGTGGGTGCGGGTGTGTGTTGTGGACACAGACTGCCGGGTCGAAGCGCACCCCTGTGAGCGCAGGACGCTGGAGATGGTCCGGGAGTTTGCCGGCAATGCCCCGTGCTGGAGAGGATCGCGGCGGGCCCCTGCGGTGCTGGCTGCACACTGTCCGTTCTACAGGTTGGTCTGCAAGCTCTCGGCTCGGCCTGGGTGGAGATGAAGGCCCCCACCCCTGAGCTGCGGGGAGGATAGCACTTTGGGGCCCTGCCGTGGAGACTGTGACGGGGATTGAAGCAGACCTGGGAGGGAGCCAAGGACATAGCCATGGGAGAACAGGGAGAGGTACAGCTACTCGGTATCAGCATACAGCCTTAATCCACAGCCCAGGCACCCAGGGCGAGCGCCGGTGGCAGGGTCACAGGCATTCTGGAAGGCTGTTGAGTGAGCCAAGCGCTGACCCTGCATGGCAGTGGTCTGCACTTGTGATATTGATTTGGTAGTTTGGTTCCTCTGAGCACCAGTTTCCACATTATGGGGGCTGAGTGAGGCAAGAGGATCAAGATGAATTCCAATCAGGGAGGCTGTGGGATGCTGGGTTCTTTGGGATTGGAGCCCAGGCACCCAAGAGCACCTGGTGCCCGGCCGCCAGCCCATCCCTCCCAAACACTCCCCACACCGTTCCTGGGCACTTTCTTTAGACTATCTGCCATTCAGCACCTCTGTCCGGAGTCCAGTGACCCTGCTACTCTCCCTTTCTGGGGGGCCAGGGCAGTGTTTGAATCAGCTACATCTTTGCCCATTGGTCCTCCTCCAGCGATGAGCTCATAGCACAGCACACAGCAGTGAAATTGATTGGCTGAGAAGCCTCAGGGCTGTGCTGGGCTGATGGAAAATCCGAAGACTGTTTCTCTGGGAAAGGTCAGTCCCCTACAAGAGGGTCAGAGGAGATGGGGCCTCATGCCACGTCAGGGCCACTGGAGGCTCTCCTCAGAACCCAAGCTCTCAAGTGAAAGGAGGAGTTGATTTGTTCCTTGGTGGCCACGTTCTTAAGTGCCTGCTCAGCCAGGCAATATGTGATAAGGAGACAGCACAGTTGCTGTCCCCAAGGAATCGTGGTCTAGAGCAGGGCATTGGAAAAGGAGACCAGAGGCCACCCTGAGGCATCCTAGGTGCTGGGGTGGAGTCTGTCCTCTCTGGGATGTCACAGAGAAGGGGCCGCTCGAGCAGTTTTGCAAGATTTGGAACTGTGGCAGTGGGCAAGGTGCCCAGAGCCGGGAGCAGGTGGGAGAGGCTGGTGGCCGCAGTGTATACTTCCTGGGCCTTGCATTCAGACTCTGCTGTCAGCCTGCTGAATTTTTAATCCTAGCAGCACCACTCGGGAGCTGTGAACTTACCACTGCATGTTTCTACGTTTGAAAAGGGGTGTGATAATAATCATAACTGCCCTACAGGGTTGTTGAGAGCATGCGGTGATTTAATAGGTAGATGCGTTAATATTGCAGGCTCCTAGAATGAAGCATTTGGGAGCTCTTTATCTATTTCCTCACTCAAGAAATACCCACGGAGGGCGTCCTGTGCTCCCCGGCACTCACCCAAGTCCTGGGGAATCAGCACCAGCATCTCAGAAACACGTCTACCCTCACAAGCTGATGCTCCAGTGATGGGAGGCAGCCACTCCAAAATGAATACAGAAAATAAACCCTTCAGTGGTAGCATGTGTTGTGGAGGAACACGACAGCAAGACGGAGATGTGGTGGGGTAGGCGGGAGCGCTGGGGCAAGGTCACAGTTTGAAATGGAGTGGCCAGGGAGGGCCTTGCAGAGCATGTGGCATTTGTGTCCAGACCTGAGGGAGGTGGGGAGCGAACTGTGTGCAGGTCCCTGCGAAGCCCTGTGGGTAGTGTCTGCACCATAAATGCTGATTCCCAGGGAGGCCTGAGTCAGGGAGCGGGAGGGGCCCAGGGAGCTTTCTGGGCTAGGACTTGTGGCTTTATTATGAGGTCACTAGGATAGACATGGAAGAGAAGATGATTTCTCTTGAATGAGCTGGCAGTTTGGCATACTTTGTTTTTATTGTTATCATTTTTTTGAGACAAGGTCTTGCTCTGTCACCAGGATGGAGTACAGTGGCAGGATCATGGCTCAGTGCAGCCTCCAACTTCCAGGCTCAAGTGATCCTCACATTTCAGCCTCCTTAGTAGTTGGGACTACAGACACGCACCACCGTGACCAGCTAATTTTTAAGGTTTTTTTATTTTTTATTTTTATTTTTTAATATAGATGGGGTCTCACTATGTTGCCCAGGCTTGTCTTAAACTCCTGAGCTCAAGCCATCCTCCTGCCTCAGCCTTTCATAGTGCTGGGATTACAGGCATGAGCTACCACGCCCAGCCTTGGCAACCTTTATTTCAGCAACTCCATGAGCTCTTAATTGACTTGGCTTTTACTCCATTTTACCCCAGGGAAAACCCTGCCCTAGAGGAGCACCTGATTGGCCTGCCCCTGGCGTGGGCAGCCCAGGGCAGGATCTTGTTGGAAGAAGCCTTATTTGGAGAACTTTAGGGAATGTTTTTGCCAAGGCCCAAGAGTCTCCTCAGGTGAGGCCGTCCCAGGAATTGCTGCCAACCCAGAGTGGGCTTTCTGCCCCCGGCTGAGGAGCTGCTCCCGTGGCAGCAGGGCACATAGCCCCGGAGACTCAGGAGAGGCGAGGACGAGGCCCAGAGGGCCGAGTGGGGGGATTTGGGGTCATGGTCAGGGTTTGGACCCCAGCTCTGCTGTGTTCCAGTAACTCTGTGACCTCAGGGGACCTAAGTCAGCCCTCAGAACCCATTTCCCTATCTGGAACATGGAGGGAACCATCTCTTCAGGTAGCTGTGGTTAATGGAACACCCGCGGGTGGAAGCCATCGCAGGAACGGTGGCTGCTGTGTTATCACAGAACGTTAGTTCTCCAGCAGACCTGAGAAGTCATTGAGCCCAGTGGCTTGCATGTCTTCACCGGCAGAGCCTCGTGTGGACACTTGTTGTGCAGACCAGATAGAAGCAGCACACCTGGGGTGGAGGGGCGGGGGTGGGGCACTGCGGGAGGCCTGGAGCCTTGTTCCTTCAGTCCTCGTCTCTCCCCATCAAAGCTTTAAGAAATACAGTTGAAAACTGCAGATAGAATTACTATACAAAGAGGAAAGTGAAGACCAGAGGAGGAAAGTAACATGTCTGTGGTCACACAGCCAAAAGCCAGTTGCCCATTTCCCAATATTTCTCTCCCTACTGCATTGTGAGCCTCAGAAAGTAACTTATAATAAAAAGCTGTTGCTACAGTTTGAGGTTTTGCATGTGGATGTCTCTATCTTCAAATGTGATAGCCAGTTTATGTTACCCTTTTTTTTTTTTTTTTTTTTCCTTTTTGAGATGGAGTCTTACTCTGTTGCCCAGGCTGGAGTGCAGTGGCACAATCTCGGCTCACTGCAACCTCCACCTCCCGGATTCAAGCGATTCTCCTGCCTCAGGCTCCTGAGTAGCTGGGATTACAGGCACACTATGCCCAGCTAATTTTTTTATTTTTAGTAGAGATGGGGTTTCACCATGTTGGCCAGGCTGGTCTCGAACTCCTGACCTCAAGTGATCTGCCCACCTTGGCCTCCAAAGTGTTGGGATTACAGACGTGAGCCACCACACCTAGCCTTTTTTTTTTTTTTTTTTTTTAATTGTCACTGGATAGTTTGAAACATTTCCTACTCTATGTGCAGAGAAAAGTTAGGGTAGAATCAAGAAAGAAAACCAGGAAGTCTTTCTTATTTCTGCACTGGAATCTTCTATCAGCTTTTGGTGTTGTAAATCATCTTCCGTTTTCTGCCCTCCCCTTACACCTCTGATCTGTCTATCATTCTGTTTCCTTGGATTGTAGCTGGAAGAGAGTGTTCCTAGCCCACCCTGCTACCTGCTACAGGACCACCTGCCCAGGTATGATCTGCCTCTTGGATTACCGGTTCTTTCAGGGCCCTGGACCCAGGCTGCTTTGTAAAGGGGCTTTTACAATCCTGGGACAGAGGGTGGGGTTGCGACTGGCTCCAGGACGGAGGGATGGGGCGCCTGGTGGGCAGAGGAGAGTGTGCTCTTCACTCACTCCATGGTGTTTGTTCATTAAGAATGGAGTGGCGGCTTTGGGATTACTCTCCTGAAACAGTGTTATGTGCATTGGTGAGAGGCAGAGAAAGGCAGGCACCGGGCACCAGCTTTGCAGACATCCTCAAAGCCAGCACCAAACTCAGGGCAAGATACCTAAATGATTTCCTCCTCTATAAAATGGAGCGATGTTTACCTGATGTCCGGAAGCCCATTTCCCTCCTCCATATGAAAGGAGGCATCGTATATGAGGTCCTGGTGAAGATTCGGTAGATAATGCCCGTGGAAGTAATCCCTCAGCTGTAAAATCCCAAATTAACGTGAGGAATCAGCAATGCCATTATGCATCATTCAGCATGGTTCCCCAGTGTGCCCTCATGGTCCCTCACCATCCCTCACGGTCCCTCACCATCCCTCACCTGGGGTGCTAGTGACCCCACTGACCTGGGAGCTCAAAATTGCACTTGAATGTGTAGGTGTCAGTCCTGGGGTGGATTTGCTACTCCTGATGAGTAGCCTGTCTCCCGGAAGCAATGCCAGCAGTTAGACACACAGGCAGGGTAGTGAGCGTCCCTATTTGGGGTTAGGTGATCCCTTCAGTATGTTCTCACGGTTTGCAGTTCCAGCACCACGGCCTCTGAAGCATAGGGGAATCTGAGAGTGGAGCTGTTTCTGTTTCTGCTCAGTAATTAAGATTTGAGGACTTATGGTTTAGAAACTAGAGTGAAATGGCTTTCAATCCCAGCTCTACCTCTTACCAATGATCTGACCTGGGGCACGTGACTTCTATTCATTTAGCTTCAGCTTCCTCATCTGTCATATAGGGTTTTTATAGTTCCTACCTAAGACTGTGACAGTGAAATGAGAGAAGCAGTGTATTGTGCTTAGCACAGTCCCTGGCACATAACAGATGCTCAATTAAAGGCCACTGTTGCCAATGTCAGTGAGCCTCCAGTTATTTCGTCTTCCGGCTGATACAACCGCAGCCCCAGTGAGGTGCCTAGACTTAGCTTTAATCTTTTCTGCCTTTGAAAAGTCTATACTTTAATTATAATGATGTGGCCATCAAGTAACAGATTAATATTTTTAAGCAAAAAGGACAAGAAAATGCCAGTCCCAATTGTGACCACACTCAGCTGCTTCTCCAGCCCTTGGAATACACAATCACATGAAGACCCTGTTTGTTTTCTGTAACCCTGGGAAGGAGGTCATGTGGTTTTAGCTGCATTTTGTAATAATTGACAAGGAAAGTGATGAGATGCTCAGGCATGGAGCACAGGGAATCATAGATCAGACACTTCAGAATGGGTCAGATTTTGACACAGGCCGTGGTTTCCCATGTAAACTTTCAGCTTTGAAGAGGCCTTGCTCATAATTTGCGTCTCATATCTAAAAGTCAATACTGTCATTACCTGTTGGGGAGTGTGTTTTCAGTACTGAGACTTTCTGCGGATTAATTCATTTAATCCTCACAATAACCCCACAGAACAAGTTCAGTTCCCATCACTCCTTTTGAGATGAGGATATGAAGATGGGAGATGTTAAGGTGCTGGAGAAAGTGGAAGGGCCACGTTCAGTGCTGAGCAGCCTGACCGCAGGATCCGAAGGCTGGTGTGTTTTGCTGTGCCAGGCGCAGAGGCCATTAAGACAACCCTGTGTAGAACTTAGAAGACAGGGCCCCATGGGCACCGCAGCTCTCTCTCAGTCTTGAGGCACCCACATTTGATGTCACGGAGAGCTTCCTCCTTGTCAAGCTCCAGTCTAACACCAGTTCATCACACAGCACCTTACAAAGCCTGCTACAGAGCATCCTTTACCAACCGTGCCCAGCTCCTCCTTTATGAACTCGGCAGTGCTTTCCCCTCTGCTGCAGGTTTCCTGGTGAACTGTGAGGGAAGGAAGGGGCTGGCCACTGTTAGAGCAGGAAGCCAGCTGCACCCACACCTCTGGCCAGTCCTCTCTACTCCTGTCTACTCCTCTGTGCTGTGGTGCTTAGCAGTTAATGGGCATCTCTCTGATAGGCCCCTGTGACTCGCAGCCCTGCCAGAATGGAGGCACATGTGTTCCAGAAGGACTGGACGGGTACCAATGCCTCTGCCCGCTGGCCTTTGGAGGGGAGGCTAACTGTGGTAGGTATGCACCGGCCCTGTAAGACTGACCACTGGGGAGCAAGGAGAGGACAGGCTCCCCTTTTCACTGCACACCCTTCCAGCTTCTGGGTAGAAACTAGCCCTCAAGCCATCTGCTTTTCAGTGCACCACTGGTCTGTGGTTCACGTGGTGCAGCCTCTCAGTGTTCCATGAGTAGATAATTTGGATGGCTGAGCTCTGGAGGAGACAGTGGCTCCCAGCTTATTAGCTGCAGAATGGTCATTGCTTGAAGTTTGAGTGCTGCCCAGCCCAGCTGAAGGCAGGAGTCTACCCAATTCTGGCTCCCAGTCCTGGGCAGAGTCTTTTCTTCTCTATTCTATGAAAGCAGAGAAAGGAGCCCCAACTCCTTTTGATTTTAGAGGTGTGAAATGAAGATAATAGTAGGCTTTACATCATTGGGTGGTTGAGAGTTTTAAATAAGATTATGCAAAGTGCTTAGTATCATGCTTGATGCATATAAGGGCTTGCTGAATAGTAACTTCTAAAAATGTGATAACTGGGTTAGTTGAAGATCTATATGAAAAAAATTAATCTTGACCCTGTACCTCACAACCCTACCAGAAGTCAATTCTAGCATGGCTATAGACCTCCATGCAAAAGGCAAAGCAGTGAAGCCTCTAGAAGCAAATACAGGAGCATATATTCACGATCTTGAGGTAGACAAAGATTTCTCAGGGCACACACTGGACTAACCATAATGGAAAAAAGTGATAATGTAGATGGCATTTTTTTTTTTTTAAAGTGGCTAAATGGAGACCCTTAGTGAGTGCCAGGAGGGCCATGTCTGGCCTTGTCTCTAACTCTGTGACGAGCACCGGTCACTTAAGCTTGGGGACCCACAGTTTCTCTGCCCCATCTCCCTCCTGGGACAGTTTCTCCGGCCCTGCGTGGTAGTTCGGTGTCTCGGGTGGGACAGATGGCATGCTGCAAGGCCATGGCTTGACGGTGGGTGTTGCTGTGATCCCCGCAGCCCCGAAGCTGAGCCTGGATTGCAGGGTCGACCTTCTCTTCCTGCTGGACAGCTCTGCAGGCACCACTCTGGACGGCTTCCTGCGGGCCAAGGCCTTCGTGAAGCAGTTTGTGCAGGCCGTGCTGAGTGAGGACTCTCGGGCCCGAGTGGGTGTGGCCACGTACAGCAGGGAGCTGCTGGTGGCGGTGCCTGTTGGGGAGTACCAGGATGTGCCTGACCTGGTCAGGAGCCTTGATGGCATTCCCTTCCGTGGTGGCCCCACCCTGATGGGCAGTGCCTTGCGGCAGGCAGCAGACCGTGGCTTTGGGAGCGCCACCAGGACGGGCCAGGACCGGCCACGCAGAGTGGTGGTTTTGCTCACTGAGTCACGCTCCGAGGATGAGGTCGCGGGCCCAGCGCGTCACGCAAGGGCGCGAGAGCTGCTCCTGCTGGGTGTAGGCAGTGAGGCCGTGCGGGCAGAGCTGGAGGAGATCACGGGCAGCCCAAAGCATGTGATGGTCTACTCGGACCCTCAGGATCTGCTCAAGCAAATCCCTGAGCTGCAGGGGAAGCTGTGCAGCCGGCAGCGGCCAGGTAAGGTCCCGGTGCCTGACCCAGGGCCGCTGGTCAGCAGGCAGGTCCTTCCTCCTTTTGGCTACCACTTAACCATCATTCTCTGCCACAGCCCCACTCTTTCAGGTACCAGTCACATAAATAATTTCTCAGTTTACCTGTCAACAAAAATGGGACTAATAGTAGTACCTCCTGAGAGACCTTTAGTGAGAATTAAGTAAGATGGGCGGTGTACATGCGTAGTACAGAGTAAGCACTCAGCAAACTCTAGGTGTTGCTGTTATTATTAATCATGATTTTATTATTGTTACAAAGAGCTCTGAATCTACCAAGCGGGCTCCAGAGCAGCAGCTTGCCAGCTCCTTTGATGGCAATCCACAGGAAGAAGTGCATTCCTGGTGCACACATGCACATGTATGCACACACACAGATGCACGTGCATGCACACCTGCTGGTACAGCCACACACACTGAAACAAACGCTTCCTGAGAGGATACTTACCCTGTCTACCTGGGAGGGATTCTGACATTTCTCTCTTCTGTTTTGCAAACCATGAAGTTGATTTTTTATGACCCTATTGGAAGGCACTCTGGAGAACACTGTTTCCGTGCAGAGGCCTGGCCCGTGGCCAGAGATGTCGTAACTGAAACACGTCCTTTATTTCTTTTGAGACAGGGTCTCGCTGTTACCCAGGCTGGAATGCAGTGGCACGATCATAGCTCACTGCAGCCTCGAACTCCTGAGCTCATGTGATCCTTCCACCTCAGCCTCCAGAATAGCCAGGACTACAGGTGCACAACACCATGCCCAGCTAATTGTTTTATTTTTTATAGAGATGTGGTCTTGCTGTGTTGCCCAGGCTGGTCTCGAACTCCTAGGCTCAAACAATCCTCCTACCTCAGCCTCCCCAAGTGGAAGGATTACAGGCATGAGTGAAATGCATCCTTTATAGGGCTCCTGGAGTTCTCCCTTGGTAGGTGGGCATGGGAAGCTACAGATGCAATTCTGCTTCTCAGCCCTGATGCCACCACTCTCCCCAAGGTGAGAAGCATTCCCTCCTGTAAGGGGGAAGGACAGGGACTGGCTGCCCACTTCCACCTTGCCCCTCCAGGCTGGCCTAAGTGCTTTTGTTCTGCTTCTTTGTTTGGTTGGATTTTTTAAAAAATAATAATTGTAGATTTATAGGGAAAAAAAAAAGGACAATAGTGGAGAGTTCCCTATACCCCACACCCAGTTTCCCCTCCTATTTACACTTTGCATTAGTATGGCACAGTGTTGTTATTAATGAACCAGTATTGATACATTATTATTTAGTGAATCCATGCTTGATTCATATTTGTTTAGTTTTTACCTAATGTCTTTTTTCTGTTCCAGAATCCCATCCAGGACCCCACAGTATATGTAGTCAGCCACCTTCCCCGTAGCTGTGATAGTTTCTCAGACGTTCCTGGTGTGGGAGTGGTTTTAAAAACCAATAATCAGAGCATCAGATCTTCTAACTTCACACTTAGAATTTCCAGTGATTCCCCTTTGCACTTGGAACAAAACCCAAACTCTATCCCCTGGCTTCTGAGAGCTCCCTGTGGCCTGGTCCCCATAGGCCTCTCTGCATCCCCTGCGTGGGACAGGCCTCTGGCTCATACTTACTTGTCTTTCAGTTCTTAGGTGAAATGTCACTTCCCCAGAGAAGCTCTCCCAGTCTTGTTATGTTACCCTACTGGTAACATAAGTCCCCTGCTTTTCCCTCCAGGCTGCCGACATCATTTGTAATTCTATGTTCATTTCATGTCTGTTCCCCTAGACTGTCAGCCTGTTGACAGCAGGCATGGGCCCATTTTGTCCATACAGCATCTAATTAGTGCTCTGCATACTGGGGATGGATGAAGGCACAGGTGAAGATGTTGTCACAAAGGGTTGCCCAGAAGCCCCATGGGTTACATAAGACAGGAACTTATTTCTCTCACATACAGTTCAGAGGTGAGTGGCCCGGGCCAGCAGAGCTTGGTCATCTTATGGCTTCCACCTTGAGGTCCAAGGTCACCATTTCTCGGCCAGCAGGAAGGGGGAGAGGGGAAGTGGAAGGTAAGCAGCTTCCAGCTGCATGAATTTGAAATTGATCACATCCGTCAGATAGAACTTAAGACACGTGGCCACCCTAGCTGCCAGGAGAAATGTGGTCTGGCCAGGCACTCATCTTCCTGTTAATATTCTAGGAAAGTGCTGTTCTGTGGCTAAAAGGAAGACAGAGGGTGGATTCTGCCGTGAAAAGAGCACCCTGGGTGACCTGGGCCCTACCCAACCGGGCAGTCCCTGGGTCCCGTCGAGGGGCTCTGACTGGCAGATCCACGGCTGACGCCCCTCTGCTTGCTCCTGCAGGGTGCCGGACACAAGCCCTGGACCTCGTCTTCATGTTGGATACCTCTGCCTCAGTAGGGCCTGAGAACTTTGCTCAGATGCAGAGCTTTGTGAGAAGCTGTGCCCTCCAGTTTGAGGTGAACCCTGACGTGACACAGGTCGGCCTGGTGGTGTATGGCAGCCAGGTGCAGACTGCCTTCGAGCTGGACGCCAAACCCACCCAGGCTGCGCTGCTGCGGGCCATTAGCCAGGCCCCCTACCTGGGTGGGGTGGGCTCAGCCGGCACCGCCCTGCTGCACATCTATGACAAAGTCATGACTGTCCAGAGGGGCGCCCGGCCTGGTGTCCCCAAAGCTGTGGTGGTGCTCACAGGCGGGAGAGGCGCAGAGGACGCGGCTGTCCCTGCCCAGAAGCTGAGGAACAACGGCATCTCTGTCTTGGTCATGGGCGTGGGGCCTGTCCTAAGCGAGGGTCTGCGGAGGCTTGCAGGTCCCCGGGATTCCCTGATCCACGTGGCAGCTTACACTGACCTGCGGTACCACCAGGACGTGCTCATTGAGTGGCTGTGTGGAGGTGAGTGGGGGAATCCACATCCTCAGGGCTATCCCCATGGCAGGCCTTCAGCCTGAGCTTTCACATACATCATGACAAGGATGGCAGCTCTTCCCAGCTACTGAGCACTTGCTTCCCAACTGCCAGGTTCTGTGCCAAATCCCATGCTCACATAAAATCCTACAGTAGGTATAACCATCCCCATTTGACATTTAAGGTATAGAAAGTTTAACTAACATAGATAACTCCCTCCCAAACTTGAGAATTAATGTATTCCCTTTAAACAGAACCCACTTTTAGGATATCCACAAGCTTCCTAAGGGTCTACAGATCCCACATTGACACTGACTTGGGCAGTGACAGAGCCCAGAGCAAACAGGGCCAGCCCAAATCCAGTGACCTCCTCTTCACCTTCTTAGAAGAGACAGGAGAATCACTTGAACCTGGGAGGTGGAGGTTGTGGGGAGCCAAGATCGCGCCATTGTACTCCAGCCTGGGCAACAAGAGGGAGACTCCACCTCAAAAACAAACGAACAGAAAAGTCTGCCATATGTATGGCACATCTGAGCAATGGACTCTCCATGAGTCTGTAGGAGAGCTGGATCTTACTAACCTAGCCAAGTTGTATGCAGCACCAACCATGAGCTACCAGGGCAAAGGGAGACATGACTCTAGTAGCCTTGCACCTCTACTGGGCTTACTTAGGGTGGGGGTTTTCAGGTCTAACCCATGCCCGGCTGGCCTGGTGGGTGTGTTCTCCATTGCAGAAGCCAAGCGGCCAGTCAACCTCTGCAAACCCAGCCCATGCATGAATGAGGGCAGCTGCGTCCTGCAGAATGGGAGCTACCGCTGCGAGTGCTGGGATGGCTGGGAGGGCCCCCACTGTGAGAACCGTGAGTGGAACTCTTTCTCTGCATGTATCAGCCAGGGATGGTATTGCGAGTCCTGCCAAGTCCCACAAACTCAGCTGAAGGCAGGTTCTAAAACATTCGTTCAGTGGAAGGAATTATTCAATCATTTCCCCACAAAACATTTAGTGAGTACCTCATGCGTCCCAGGCATTGTTCTAAGTGCGGGAACATAGCAGTAAACAAATAAAACCTTTGCCCTCATGGAGCTTCCATTCTAATGGGGAGGCAGACAATAAGCAAATTAAGTGTAATACAACATGTGGTGTGTTAGACGGTGCTCAGCACCCTAGAGAAAGTCATGACAACTAGGAGGGAGGCGACAGTTAGGAGCACAGTGGATCCAGGGTACAGGAGGGCAGACAGAGGCAGGGATGGGTAAATGCGGTGGTGGGAGCTGCTGGAAGCTCTTTTTGGGGTGCTTTCTATTTGCTCAGTAAAATGGGAAGAACAGCTAAGTGAGGATGAGGAGGAGGTGCCAGAGGTTTGAGAGAAAAGAAATGACTATCAAGAGAAGGGTAACAGATTAGGGCCTAGAGACTGATTGTTGGGAGGCATTAGAGGTCCACTTACGGCTCCTGTTCATGAGTTTGAAGTAAGAACAGCCAGAAATCAGAAGACAAGTCCAGTCGGAGCCTTGGTTTTTTGGCCATGGGCAGAGTTTGGCTTCCTAAGGCCAGAGAGAAGCTCTGGAGGACAATCTGATGGGGTCTCTGATCTGGCATCTTCTGCTGGGGGCGAGGTGGGTTGTAGAGTAGGATCAGGACCTGAAGGGGTCCTGAGAGGCTGCTGGAGGGCTGAGAAGGGGAAGCAGACACTCCTGTCCTCAGAGTTCACCTCCTTCCCCAGGATTCTTGAGAGGAGACGCCCCCGAGGCACGTGGCTCCCATGCAGGAGGGCAGCAGCCGTACCCCTCCCAGCAACTACAGAGAAGGCCTGGGCACTGAAATGGTGCCTGCCTTCTGGAACATCTGTGCCCTGGGGGTCCTTAGAATGTCTGCTTCCCGCTGTGGCCAGGACCACTATTCTCAGTGAGGGAGGAGGATGTCCCAGCTGTAGCCATGCTGCTTAGAGACAAGAAAGCAGCTGATGTCACCCAGAAACGATGTTGTTGAAAACTTTTGATGTGTAAGTAAATACTGACTTTCTGTATCTGCTGTGCCTTGTTGAGGCTATGACATCTGCCCCCTTTTCCTTGAGGATAAATAAGGGGTCCCAAAGCCTTAAATCTAGTGGCCTGACATTCCTTTGCCCACAATCAGTGCTAGCTAGAATGTTGACACAGTAATGCCCAGCAGAGGCCTTTACTAGAGCATCCTTTGGACGGTGAAGGCCACAGCCTTTCAAAATGGAAAGCAGCGGCTTTTCTGCTTCCCCATAGACATCCTGGATGCATTTGCATTGAGTCTGAAAGGGGGCTTGAGGGACATTTTTGACTTCTGGTGACTGCCTTTTGTGTGTGGAAGAGACTTGGAAAGGTCCCAGACTGAAATGTGACCAATTAACCAGCTTGTTTGATGATGGGGGAGGAGCTGAGTGTGCAGCTGGCCCAGGTCTGGAGGTGAAATTGTTCCGAGTAGTGAGCAGTGTCCACTTGAAAGGTCTTCCTTTAAAAGAGGTTACGGCCAGAGGCTGTGGCTCACGCTTGTAATCCCAGCACTTTGGGAGGCCGAGGCAGGCGAATCACCTGAGGTCAGGAGTTTGAGACCAGCCTGGCCAACATGGTGAAACCTCGTCTTTACTAAAAATTCAAAAAGTAGCCGGGCGTGGTGGCAGATGCCTGTAATCCCAGTGACTCGGGAGGCTGAGGCAGGAGAATGGCTTGAACCCGGGAGGCGGAAGTTGCAGTGAGCCGACATCACACCACTGCACTCCAGCCTGGGCAACAAGAGTGAAAATCTGTCAAAAAGAAAAAAATGTACTTAGGAGGGGTTGTGGCGTGTTTATGGAATTCTTTCCTTATTCTCCTTTTAGTGGGGCAAAGAGAAGATTCTTAAACTCAAAAATATAGGATAAAGAAACTTAACAGAGATTTTGCTTTCTAAAGCATTGATCTTACACTGCCTAGGTTTTAGTTTTGTTTTGCTTTGCTTTGCTACATAGTTTTTAAAGAAATATTTCAAGAAATGTTGGTTATTTACTAAACAGGGATATTTGTACCTATGCGGCAAAGAGGCATGTTTGGAATATTCTCTGGCAAACTAGATACTTACTATCCCTGCAGTATTTAGGAATTACTTCTTCTCCTTAGTTGTGTTGTTTAGAGTTGGATTTTCAGTAGAAATCTTTCTAGAGCTCTGACGTAACTCCAGACACCTTATTGTTTTTCTTTTTTTTTGAGACGGAGTTTCGCTCTTGTTGCCCAGGCTGGAGTGCAGTGGCACAATCTCGGCTCACTGGAACTTTGCCTCCCAGGTTCAAGTGATTCTCATGCCTCAGCCTCTTGAGTAGCTGGGATTACAGGCACATGCCACCATGCCTGGCTAATTTTTGTATTTTTAGTAGAGACAGCATTTCACCATGTTGGCCAGGCTGGTCTCAAACTCCTGACCTCAGGTGATATCCCTGCCTTGGCCTCCTAAAGTGCTGGGATTACAGGGGTGAGCCACCGTGCCCGGCCTGTTTTTCTTTATAAATATTTTAACATAATGTTTTATAGACAAACATTCAAGCATACTTTGGCTTTAAGAACTTCAGGATTTCTGGCACTGGAAAAGTGCTTAAAGTAGTATCACCATGATTTTAGATATTAAAAAATCATCTGTATTCAAGGGATACTATCATTGATAATATTCTGTTGTTATGCTGCCCTTCACAGAAGACAACGTCCAGGGCAGGATCATGTGCTCCCTGGCAGATGCTGATCAGTGATGTCATAGAAATTACATGAATGCATTGTCTTTAAATAGCAGTTTAACCATGTTATAATGTAGGCTTTTTGTCTTGTTCCGGGCTGGTATTTGGGTGCCCTGATTGAATTACTTGGATTTAAACAGCAAACTCTGGGCTCTGGACTTCTAAAGACCTTTACCGTTTCTTTGTAGGAGATGGTGTTCCCACCTCTGAAATATTTTTTTCCCCTTTTGTAGTGACGGTGCCACTGAATAGTTCAGTTTTTGTCAGTCCCCCAGGAAAATGCTATCCTTTGGCCTAACTAGCCAAGCCTTCTTTCATTTAAAAGAAATTAGCTTTAATTTTTACCTTTAATTACTTATTCAAGTAAGACAAATATATTTTCCTTGCAAGAATTAAAACATTGCATGTAGGCCATAAATTTCCTTATTTTCTCTGAATGATCCTGATTCCAGTCATCCTGTTGAATACCCTAGTTCTAATAATTGACTCTTGCTTTTCTAGAGAAGTATTTCCAAATGATCCTAGTTCTTGTCTCTTCCTTTTAAAGTTGTATACCACGTCTTTTTGCATTGCCTGGGACCTCCAGAATAATGTTTCACGAAGTAGCAGGTATCCATATCTGGTTCTTGACTTTTTCATTATTATAATTGTTTTCTATGGGTTACTTATCAGTTTAAGAATGCTTTATTCCTAGATAAACTGAGTGTTTATTATATGTTGAGATTTTTGGTATGCTTTTTCTTCTTCAAGATAATGTGATAGATTATCCATTTATATATTTTCAGTCATTGAACAACCCTTGATTTTTCTGGATAAATTCTATTTGGTCATTAAACATCATTCTATAAACCCTGCTGAATTTCATTTGCCAGCATTTTATTTCAGATTCTTTTAATCTGTGTCCAACAATGAGATTTGTTTACTTTTGCAATTTGTTTTGGATTTTTGGTATCAGAGCTATACTAACATTATAATGGAAAATACATATTTCTCAAACTTTACACAGATATAATTTGAAAAATCTTGTCAGTATCTGTACTTAAGGCCTCCATTTCAGTTCTGCTATTTTATATTGCCTTAGGTTGTCTATTAGTCTTTTTAATGAACCAGATTTTGGTTTTGTCATTTTTTAAATAAACACATTTATGCTATAAACTTCCTTAATTACTACTTAGGCAACCTTCCCAGTATTGGTATGTTTCTTTTTTCCCAAGAATTCTTTAGGAGTATATTTAACTTGTGGGAGTACTGATTTTTCATTTACTTACATATGATCAATTTCTGCAGATGTTTCCTGTGTCTTTGGTATGTTGTTAACTGCACTACTAAAATTTGCTTTCAGTCTTATCTATGCTCTTTGATTCAAGGAGGCTGAGTTTCCTGCTAGGACCCCATCTTGTAGTTCAGTGTGTAAATAACCAAAACATTTCCTCCCTTGAGAACCCCCCAGGCCCTGCCCCAAGTCATTTCATGAAATACAAGGAAAACCTCAAATACAATGAACATTTTATTTAAAAAAAAAATCTAACTCACCACTTGGTAAAAGGTCACCAAATGTTTATGAGAGAGGAAATAAGAATAAAAAAAGATCTTTAGTTCTCAGGAACAAGTGTTAGAGAACTGATACACAACCCCCCAGAAATGAGGCAGAGATAATAGATGAAATGTTTCAACCTGTGTTTTTTTTAAAAAAAAAAAAAAGCTATCAGGAAAAGACAGGGGCAGCACAAGGAACAGCACTGCCAATTTTAAGAGGGAGACCAGCCTAACCAAAATTCACCACTTTGTTCTTGGAAGGGGAATGGACATCATTAAACAGAACTTAAAATCAGGGACTATTTATATTAAATAACTCTTCCCTTAAAAATGGCCCGACCACAGGAATGAATCTGTAAACACACAGTAATATTTTTCCCTATGGTAAAGAGTCAGTTTAATCTCAAAAGACACTTTTCACTGTTTCTAAATGACAGGATTTTAAGCATTTTTTCCTATATATAATACAGCATCACTTAAAATTTCATTTAAAGACAGTTGATTCAGGCTTGCCTTAGACTGGAAAGAAGTATTTAACTTAGTGGGATCAGTGCTTCAGCTTGGTCCCAAATATTTTCCCCCATTACTGTTTCTGGATGTCAATGCTTTTTAAAATCACTGAGTTGGGCCTGGTAATATTGGAGAGAACTGAAGGCAAGGATGGTTTAATCCCCGACTGCTAAGTATTGGATCAGAGACGATGGCCAGGAGTTTAGGTCTTCTCACTCACCAAAGCCAGGTGACCCATAAGACAGGGCCCTGCTTCCTTGATTCATCTTCCACCAAAGTCTAAACATGAGGTTTTTACTATTTAAAAATCTTAGTAAAGCAATTGATGACAACTTCAAAAAAGAAACACACAACATCCCTAAATACAATGTCTTGTTTACATCCAATATACTTAGGTCTCCAAAGAAGCCTCCTTTTTGTTGTATTATTTCCTTTAGCTCTGAAAAGGGACAGATCCTCTTCTTAGCTGAAGCTTGCCATTCACAGTACCTCAGTCTTTGCTTTTTCTTCTAAACAGACTCACCCTTTTGCAGAGTTTTTGCTTTAACAAAGCAGGATTGTCACCAAGGTCCACATTGACATGAGAGTATTCAGATGAAGCTTGTTTTCTAACTTGCTCCTTTCTTCTCCCATTCCTAGGGTACCATTCCAATATGAGCACCCACCCCCCATAAAAAAGATAGTTAGTTATCCACTGTAGCAACTTTGATATACATAGAAAAAATGTGAGAAAAACTATTTTAGGCATAGAGGTGACAAACAGGTTTCAAACCCTGTATGTTCATCACTGCTTAGAGCGCCTATTCAGAGGGTTTTGAGACTGTGGCACAACAGCGAGTGCCTGAAAGTGATGTCTCCCACAGCAACAAGGGAGTGGAGGTTCAGATGCTTGCATGGAATTATTGGTTAGCCATTGTTGTGAGCACCTCCAAATATCTCCAGCAAGTAAGCAGGATAGGAATAAAGAACAGAGTTTGCCAAAGGCAGCCCTAGGCATGTTCTTTAGTGTACAAATGAGTAAATGATTAATGATACTTTTTGACTAACCCTCAGGGAGAAACTACATCATAGCATGGATTCCTCATTTACAACTTGCTGAGAATTTTGCCACTAGTTGGGGGGTCAACTTTGGACAATTCAAACCACCTAGTGAGTCTGTTTCTTTAGTTTTAATGGTAGAAGTCCTGTGGAGTAACTGACTTTTTGATTTGAAAACTGTCATAATCTGTCCCTGAGCTGCAGCTGTCCTGCTGGAATCTACCCGTAACTGTGTGGAGGGTAAGAACTGAAGTATCCCCAAGTTCACAGGGAAGGACACGCGAACCAAGTGCAAGCACCTTTCTGGTTGGTCAGTGCGAAAGACTGAGCCAAAGGCATGGCAAAGCCACTGCCATTCCCTGGTGAGTGCCAAGCCCTTGCTCAGAGCTGGTGCCAAAAGCCACAAAGCACCACCTGGGTCAGAAGATGGGCCCCTATGTTAGTGACATTCCTGCTGGCCCCAAGGGAGACTGGGAGTGACTACTTACCTTGGCTTTCTGGAGGACAGTGCCTTTGCCTGTGACCATGACTGAAAGAGGCCTGTTCTTGAGCGTGGTTGCGGAGTTGACTGGGGTACAGTCTGGGGCAGGGGCAGGTGTGACAGCTTTGGGCTATGGTTACAGGAGGAGAGCAAGGACTGAGTCAAGGGGAGGGAGATGTGACCCACCTGCCCCAACCCATGTCCAGGGAGCCCTACAAGCAGCCCAGAGACCGTGGCTCCAGCACTCACGCGGGGGCTCACGTTCTCCAGGTGGGTGGTGTCCACAGTGGTGCCCAGTGTCACAGGCCCCGCCTCAGCCTTCTTCAGGTTGTCCTTCACCTCCATGATGCTGAGCTCCAGGTCCACACGCCTGCTCTCCTCACCCCGGCACTCCTCATCCATTTCCTTCAGCTTCTGCTCCAGGCTGGCCAGGACTTCCTTGTCTGGAGAGAGAAGTATGCAGGCCTCAGAGAACAGCATCTCGGCCCAGGCCAGGGAGCCCTGCTGGGTGGAGGCAGGATCTACATACCTCACCACCCAAGAAGGACCACAGGTCTGGCCCCAACACTTAGAGCCGGGGGTGGGGCGGGGGCGTGTGTGCTGGGGCAGCCTGCAGGCCTGCTCTAGTTAGCATTCTGCAAAGGCTAGGAGGCTCTTGGGGAGGAGAGCTCTGGCTTCACCAAAGGGCATGAGTCTGAGGCTTAAGCCCCTTCTTGTAGATTCTCAGAGACTCTTGGTTGTTTTGACAGTGACCCAAAAGTGTGAGGGGCTTTATTCATGGCCTGTGGAGGAGGACTGGGCAGCTTGACCTGCCCTACCGAGTTCCCTCAATCCTCTGACTTCCCTAGGCCTAACAGAGGAGGAGTCCTCAGCCCTGGCTCCTCCTCTTAACCCTGAACCTCTCGGGTTACTGCTGTCACACCATGAAATGATGCCTAGGGCCTGTATCCTAGAAGCTTCACTGCTGGAGGAAAGGATGGTATCACGTATGTACCACATAGAGTTCTGAGCACAGGGCCACTGTTTAAGAAAAATTCATAGATGCTGTTGAAGGACCATCTCTAAAGACAGAAGGAAAAGAAAACGTATACCGATAATGTTTTGAAGATTGGAGTTTAAAAAAATATAGTTCAAGCTGGTTGAGGTGGTTCACACCTGTAATCCCAGTACTTTGGGAGGCTGAGGTGGGCAGATCACTTGAGACCAGGAGTTTGAGACCATCCTGGCCAACATGGTGAAACCACGTCTCTACTAAAAATACAAAAGTTAGCTGGGCGTGGTGGCATGTGCCTTTAATCCCAGTTACTCAGGAGGATCGCTTGAACCTGGGAGGCAGAGGTTACAGTGAGCCAAGATCGTGCCACTACATGCCAGCCTGGGCAACAGAGCAAGACTCTCTCTCAAAAAAAAGAAAAAAAGCCAGTGGGTGACTTTGCATTCTCAAGACCTTCCCTCACCAGTCAGCTGAATTTGTCCCCAAACCTGTACTGCTGCTTATGCTTGTTCATGCACCTCTACAATTTAAATAAACAAAAAGTTACTCCATGAACACTAAGTCAAATACTTTGAAAAGGTTCTAGAAGAGGCAGGTTGCAGCTGGTTTACACCTGTAATCCGAGCACTTTGAGAGGCCAAGGCAGGTGTCCCTTGGGCTCAGGAGCTCTAGACCAGCCTGGACAACATTGTGAGACCCCATCTCAATTTTTGTAATTTTAAAATTTTAAATGCAGCAGATTGCCAGGAAACAGCTGTCAAATGATATGAGTGTGATTTGGAAGATAATCTAAAAGACTTCTTGGCAAGTGTCTAAAGTTTTTGTTGACTTTAAAGAAATGAAGGCTGATGCATTAACAGGTATAGTTAATGCATGAAGGATGACATGAGACTCCAGTCAGCCGACCAGAGCTCAAAAAATCTGCAGTGCCAGGTCTTCAAAAGATGGGCCAAGGAATATGCATTTAAGTGACAATAAAATACTTATGGCCTATGCATAATCCACAAAACTTACTCCTTTAACTAGCTTTTCACAATGACCTGCTGGTCCTATTGATGTTCTGTCATAGGCTTTCTCTCTATGTCCAGGAGAATGGCCTTTCAGACAGGATTGTGTGTCAAAGAGGACACACAAGGAGCACCCACCTAGGCCAAGGGTTGAAGGGGCCAGGGCCCACTGATTGGGAAGGCAGGTGACAGCTAGATCTTCCGCCAAAAAGTTAAGCCTACAACAGCCCTCTGAGCTGAGGGTCCCTCCCCACTGGGGGTGCCCCTCAGGCCCCTTACCTGTGCATTTCAATAGGGTTTCCTTTAGCTCCCGTTTCTCTTTCCGGAGCTGAGCCAGGTGCCCCCGGATTTCTTCCTTTTTCTTTTCAAGCCTCTCCTTCTCCTCTGTGTACCGCTTCACCTCAGCTTCTGTCCGATTCTTGCCAAGCTTGATCTCTACGGACCCAGAGAGGGAAGCCCCAGGTCAGCACGACTGGATCATGAGGGCTGTCCCCAATCTACTGGCTCAGATAGAACCTGGGGCTTTGGCACAAAGCCCTGCTAGGCTGGATGCCAGACCTGGACAGGGGCCTCTACCTCTCTGAACTTG